GAGTGGGACGGGACATTTGAGTAATCATTTAATGTCATGTTGTAAAAATGAATTTTTGCATGCTAAAGTTGTAGCCGAAGCTAAAAAAAATGGTATCATCCTTCCTGAAAATGTAGGAGTAGAGGGATCTAATATGGTCCAAACACAATTAAATCCTTCTAATGTTTTTGGTTCTAGTATACAACGGTCATATAGTAGAGAAAAAGATCTTGAAGAATTAGCTAAAATGATTGTTGTTATGGGTTTGCCATTTAGTTTTGCTGAAAATCTTGGTTTTATTAATTATATTCAAATTGTGTATAATCCACATTTTAAAGGTTTTACTAGAAATACAATTAAAAAGGCTATCTTTGATTATCAAGCTCAACATTTTCAATATCTTCGTTGTTTATTTTATTATAATAATTGTAAAATAGCTATTACTTTTGATATGGGCCGTAGTGTAAATGGTAATGATTATTTCACTATTACTGCGCATTGGATTGATGAAAATTGGACTTTGCAAAAAAGAATTTTAGGTTATAAATGTTGTGAAATGCATAAAACCGATAGTTATATAGCTCAAACAATTATAGATGTTTTACAAAACTATGGAATTTGTGATAAAATAAGTAGTGTCACATTAGATAATGCTTCTAATAATAGAATTGTTGTTGAAATACTAAAACCGTCTCTTTGCCCTATTTATATTGATGGTTTTCATATTAGGTGTGTTACACACATATATAATTTGATTGTTAGAGATGGTATAGCAAATGTATAATGATGGTTGCATAAAAGTTGAAATTGCATGACATTTTATTTTTAAATGTCAAGTTAAGTCTAGACGTAGAGATTTTGAAAATCGTTGTCGTGAATTTAATCTTCCACCTAGAAAAATTCCAAAATCAGTGTGTACTAGATGAAATTCTTTTTATGAAATGCTTGAAGTCGCTTATGAATATAGGAAACCTTTACAAATGGTTTGGAATGCTCATAATTCAAATATGACATAGACTTGATGATAATGATTTGAATGACATAAAAGAACTTATAGAATTCTTTAAAAAAAATAATTATTTAACTACAAAAAAAATATCTGCACTTTATTATCCAACTATTTGTTCTATTTTACCTAATATTTGTGTTATTTCTAGTAAATTTTATAAATTCAAAAATAAACCAAGATTTGAAGAATCTGTTAAGAAAATGATTGAAAAATTTTAAAAATATTTTATTCCTATTGCTCATTACTATTTAGAGATTGGATTAATGGCGAGAGAAGGAGTTATAGTCGTTCACCTTTACCGACCAAATTTGAAAATGACGTTGATAAAATAATGCAAGATTTTAGTGACGACGACATTGATGCAATGGAGGAACTAGCTAATCAACCAATTCCAGATCATGTTACTAGAGAAATGTTAAATGATTTAAAAAAAGATTTCCTAGGTAGCATGAACTATTAAATTTAAATGTCTATTAGTATGAGTATGATAATTCGAGGTCTAATTCAAACAGAACCCTTCCTAGAAGGTGGTTGTGTAGATTATTTGTTTTAATACTCTACTAATATTTTGTAATTCAACTTGTAGTATTTAATTAATATTAATAAAAGTATAGGCTATTCGCCTTAATTTTTTTTTATTATTGTCTTGAATTTAAATTTTCAAACTTTTAAAGTGTGAAATTTAAACTTTTATAGTTTTAAAGTTTGAATTTAAATTTTCAAACTTTTAAATTTTAAAGTTTGAATTTAATTATTTAAATTTTCAAACTTTTAAAATGTGAAATTTAAACTTTTATAGTTTTATAGTTTTAAAGTTTGAATTTAAATTTTCAAACTTTTAAATTTTAAAGTTTGAATTTAATTATTTAAATTTTCAAACTTTTAAAGTGTGAAATTTAAACTTTTATAGTTTTATAGTTTTAAAGTTTGAATTTAAATTTTCAAACTTTTAAATTTTAAAGTTTGAATTTAATTATTTAAATTTTCAAATTTTTAAAGGGTGAAATTTAAACTTTTATAGTTTTAAAGTTTGAATTTAAATTTTCAAACTTTTAAAGGGTGAAAAAAACTTTTATAGTTTTAAAGTTTGAATTTTAAATTTTCAAACTTTTAAAGGGTGAAATTTAAACTTTTATAGTTTTAAAGTTTGAATTTAACTTTTCAAACTTTTAAGTGTGAAATTTAAACTTTTATAGTTTTATAATTTTAAAGTTTGAATTTAAATTTTTAAAATTTTAAGTGTGAAATTTAATCTTTTATAGTTTTATAGTTTTAAAGTTTGAATTTAAATTTTCAAACTTTTAAAGTGTAAAATTTAAACTTTTATACTTTTAAAGTTTGAAAGTTTGTATTTAAAAGTTTTAAAGTATAAATTTTTAACTTTAAAATTATAAAAGTTTTAATATTTTTTGAGTACTGTTCCTAATATTTAATTTTAATATTTATTTTTTAAATATAGCATTTGGGACCCGGTTTCCGGTCCGGTCCCGATCCGTTACCGGTCCTAGACGGGTCTTGATATTTTTTCCCGGAATTACCGGTTTCGGTCCGTCCCGGTTCCGGCCCGTGATGGCCGGTTTCGTTCCGGTTTCGGTCCTTCCCGGTCCAGTAGTCCCAGTTTCGGTCCCGTTGCCACGCTTAATTCTGCCTAAAGCTTGTAAACCAGGAGAAACTATTCAAATCAAAATCGTTGACCGCGCACAAAATATAACTTCTACACCAACAAGACAAGGAACCACTATGGTCCTTTCTACTGCTGCTCTTGCTGCAATTGCTGATTCAAATGCCCCTTCTCTTAATATCGATTTTCGATAGTAAATAATCATCCATCCTGTCGTTCAATTTAATTATCGTTTTCCTACAAAAGTAACTAAACTAAGTTTGATTACATGTGCTAAACAAAGTAATTATTACTACTGCTACAATTATTGGAAAGAGATAAAGTAAACAACTTTAACGTGACTAGTGCACATGTGAGTAGTACTTTCTGTTTTTTAATCTGTTTGTCTGATTTTAATTAAAAAAATTGAAAAGATCCCTAAATTATGCATGAATTATTAGTTTCATTTCTGAACTATTGACGGTTTTAAAAACACTCATTTACTTGACTAACTAAACTTAAAAAACGCTCTTGATCTTGCGACATAACTAAAATACACCCTTAAATTCTTGTCAACTTTAGGGGTATTTTTAACACTTCTTTCGTCTTTTTATTAAGTGTGTTATGCTTCTACAAGAGTTTGAAACCAATTGATATGTCATGTGGGTGATCGGGGATGTATCTAAGTTTAGTTAGTTAAGTAAATGAATGTTTTTAAGGCGGTCAATAGTTCGGGGACGAAACTAATCATTTGTGTCTAGCGTAGGGGTGTTTTTTAATACTTCTCTCTTAAAAATAAAATATGTAAAATGTACGTTAATTTTATGATCTCAAATGAAAGTAAACAAACAAATTGAAACACAAAAAATACTTTAATTAGGTTTAAGCTAAGTAGCGTGGAGGAATCTCAACCTATATTGTTTGCGATTGAGTGTTACATCAAATTAATTATGGTCAAGTCGTAGCTATA